TTAATATTATCAAGATTCTAATTATATCTAGGAGGGAGAATAAATTTTATGACTGAGAAAACTTCTATATACTAATTTAAGTAGCTGGTACCAAATAGCAAAAAATTATCTATAAATATACTAATTTAAAAATTGATTATTAATAAACTATAAAAGATTTAAAATATCAAAAGTTTTACAAACCGGTTTACAGGTACTTTTAGAGGCTGGGTTCAGGTTCGGGTGACAATTTTTTAATGGGGTTAGGTTTTGGTTTAGTAAATAACGAGTAATACCAGTTTAAAGGTAGGGGAGAAGTGCCATAAATGGCCACGTTTGAAGACTGGCCACCACCCTTCAACTTTTTTTCTATTGGACCGATTTCTCTCAAAATTAGTCAAAATGTGTATATTTATGATATTTATTTTACCTAAGTTCATTTATTGAATAGAGCAATCCAATATAAAAATATTTTATAAAAACTGTTTTTGGTCCCTCTTTCTGGAAAAATCACGTTACACATTTTTTTGTTTGGTGAAAAAATTACTAATTTAGATTACTGATATTTTATGTAAATATTATCCTTAGGCATTTAGCATTATTCACACAAAAAATAAGACTTTAAAAGTTTTATTTAATAGACATATAGAGGCGCTTATTAATAATAGACAGGTGAGTATTGTCTGGCCAGGCATTGACTGGCCAAAATCATACATTCATATTAAAATGAAAAAGGCGCGCAAAACAATATTTGGTGCAAATTCAAGTGATGAACAAATTAAACTGGCAATTGATGATATAATCATTAATGAAAAATCAACACTATCAATAGCTAATAAATTTAATATTCCTAGAACGACTTTAAGAAGAGCTATGAATAAATATAAAGAGACTTTGGAATATCCTCATATGGGATGGAGTTCAAATAGGCTAATATTCACTAAAGCTCAGGAGGACCTTTAAAAGATTATATAATTCAGGCTAGTAAATCACTAATTGGTTTTGGCATAAAGCAAGTAAAATTTATATTTTAAACAATTTAATTCTCTATTAAATATTAGATAAGAATATTGGCACATGATTTAGCAAAAAAATATGAGTTAAAGTTTCCAGAAAGTTGGACTCGTGATGGAATGGCTGGCTTGGATTGGTTCAAAGGGTTTAAAAATAGACATCCTACATTAGCCCTTAGAACCCCTTAAGCAACAAGCTTGGCTAGAGCTCGAGGCTTCAATCCTCACAGTGTCAAAATTTTTTTTGATAATTTAAAATCTCTAATGGATGAACATAAATTTGAACCACAAGACATATGGAATATGGATGAGACTGGAGTAACCACTGTCCAAGATCCTGGTAAAGTTATTGCAGAGAAGGGCATGAAACAGGTAGGATTTTTAACCTCAGATGAAAGAGGATCCTTAGTGACCATTGCTATAGCTATAAATACAATTGGAAATAGCATTCCTCCTATGTTACTATTTCCAAGAATTCGATACAAAGATTGGTTTATCAGAGAGGCCCTATAGGTTTTTATAATGTGAATGTTTATTATTTATATTTTACTTAATTCAGGTTGTATTGGTGCTGGAAATGGATCTGGGTGGATGCAGGAAAATGAATTCCTGATATTTTTAACTCATTTTTGCAAACTAACAAAAGCATCCAAAACAAATAAAAATTTATTAATATTAGACAATCATTGTTCACATTGCTCACTAAGATCAATAGATTTTTGCAGAGACAATAGAATAATCCTGCTCACCCTACCACCACACTGCTCCCACAGTTACAACCACTAGATAAATCAATCTTTGGACCATTTAAAATTTTTTATAATAACAGCATTGACAATTGGATGAGAAACCATGTAGGAAAATCAGTTACCATATATGAAATACCATCAATTATTAAAATGGAGCTTCCTAAAGCTACAACCCCCAAAAATATTCAGAATGGATTTTTAGCCTGTGGGATATATCCCTTCAACCCTGATATATTCTCTGAAGATAGTTATTTAATATCTAATGATGATGATATGTCAGAATTATCCAATATTCCTCTGGCAGTGAGAAATTAGCTTATTGTGACCCTGAAAATGATACAATAAATTCCACTCTTAGCCCTATGCCTACCACTTCTGATAATGAGTTATGCTTAACATCATGTCATCAGCCCAATAATAATTTGAATTCACAATCTATTCTACCTAATCCAATTTTATATAGCAATAATATTATCAAAAAAGACAAGAGGAGAAAGAAATCAGAAATTTTAATCTCATCACCTTATAAAAAAACATAAATTAACAAATATTAAAAAAAACAATAAAAAAAAATCTAAAGAAAACTAATGATGAGTGGCTTTGCAAAATATGCAAGAAGGCATATTCAAAGAGCAAGAAAGGTGAAGAGTGGATTAAATCCTGCAATGTGAAGAATGGGCTTATACTTAATGTACTAATAACAATGATTTATTTGTTTATTATGTATGTAAATAAAGATATTATAATTGTTTCATTTATAAATTAATAAAATGGCTTTCATTATTGTTGCGTATTAATAATTGCCTAATTAAGTTTATTAAACATCATGAATGATTAAATTATTAAAAATCACTTTAACATGTAGAGATAATATTTATAAAATTATTAAATAGATAGTGATTAATTTTATATTGAAATAAGAATGTTTAACAAAAAGATAATTAAGATATTAATTTATAAAATATTATCATTAAATAGATGATGATAAATTTAGATGTTAATACTTATAATTAAATTTTTATTGCCTAAAAATTAAGAAATATTAACATGAAGTATTTCTAATTGTAATATTTCATATTTATAATAAAATTCTAAATAATATATTGTCTAACTAAGTTTATTAAACATAAATTTATAAATTGATGAATGATTAAATTATTAAAATAGTCTATAACATGTAATTAAGATAATAATTTATAAAGTCATTAAATAGAGAGTGGTTAATTTTATATTGAAATTAAACTGTTTAACAAAAAGATAATTAAGTTATTAATTTATAAAGTATCATTAAATGAATGATGAAAAATTTAGATGCTTATACTTATTAATTTAGTGTATAATTAAATTTTTATATACCTAAAATGAAAAAATATATAAGATAGGTCTTTTGCAAGTATTTCATATTGTAATATTTCATATTTATAATAAAATTCTTAATTAATATATTATGGCCAGTTAACACATAGTATAAAATAACTTTCACATAACCTCATCTATCTCATAAACAATTATAGATAGAGCTTTAATTCAAATTTTATTTTAAAGATTAATAATTTGGCTACACATTGATATCAAATTTGTTTGGTTAAACCCTATTCTTAATACCTTTTTTTCAAAAAAGCAAAAACATGGCCATTCATGGCACTTCTCCCCTACTGTATAGGTTTTGTTTGAATCATTGTTTATTTATCTTGGCTATTTAATATAATTTTTTTAACCTAAACTCATAAAATATACAATATTTTTAAATAAAGAATTAATTTATATTCATTTATTTCGACCACCCTCTCAATAAAAATATTTTAACCTCACCCGTCTATTTTTAAATTTTTTAACCCTGCCGAAGAATAAATGAAACATTTCCTATGTTTTTTTTCAGGATTTTAACATGATTTCGGCAGTAAAGACAAAAATTAGAGATTAATCTATTTCATCTAAACTAAATTATATTTTAGTTCAATCATATTAAGAAAATACCGTATTTTTTGGAAGCTGAGAGACTAAAATATGATGGTTAGACATTTGAAACAAGACTATCTGATTGCATCGGAAAGGAGTGAATATAGCGGTTGAAGAAAAGAGAAGTAAGTTAGGAAGTGTTGCGTTTGGACCGATGGGTCCCCCAGTCTGAAGGGGAATAATACAGTCCGTGATCGGGGGTCCGGGATGGTCAATGACTGGATCCAGGGGGCCGGGTTTTATCGATTTAGTCATGGAATCACTTGGACAACGTAAGTTTTAAAGTTTATTCGAATCAGAGAAATTACAATAAAAAAAAGAAATTCTATTACAAAAAAAAATATTTAATGATTAATGGTGTTTTGTTTTCCACCTTTATAATTTTTAAAACAAAGGGGGAAAGAAAAAGTTGTTATTTAATCGCGATATAATCATTCATGAAACTGGTAAGAACCAGTTTCAAATGCAATATAAAAATAAGGTATAATATATTAATTTCATAACAAAATAAAAGAAGATGGGAAAACAAAAGAAACAAGGAGAAACAAAAATAAAAGAAATAAGGGGGGATAGAACATAACAGGAAGATCCCTGGAAATTTTTTTGATTTCATTAGGGAGGATTTGAGATGGCTATTGAAGCCAGTGATGGCATTAGACAGGAATAATTGTAGGTTAATAAGAGTAGATTCTCTGACCATCCGTAAATGGATGATAGCAGAATTGCTGTGAAATATAATTCAGCAATTGATAGGTTCATCTAATTTAATTACTTAAGAAAAAAAATGTTATTCATATTAAGAAAAAATTGTTTTCTCTTGCATATATTTCTAAACTATCTTCGTAATTGTATATTCTAAAAATCTGATAAAAGAATTTATTGATTAATTTAAATTTGAAAGCCTTCTGTCCCCATTAACTTTTCTAATGATATCGTAATAATATATCTTTTTCTAAATAACGAGGTCTGATTGAATCTTTTAATACATTATAAAGTATATAGTAAAATAAATAAGTTTATTAACTTATTAACGTGATTTTTATAACATCTTTAAATTTATTTTTAATATATTACATTAATTGAAGGTTCTAGAAAAAATATATAAAAACAATTTATAAAAACTATCGGAATAATATTATGTTTAATTTATAAGTTTATAGGATTTTTTTTAATTTATAAGTTTTATAGAATTTTTTTTTGTATTTTTATTGATTTATGATGGCATAAAATGGGTAATCATACCTTGCACTCACCAAAATTCCTATCAATAATTTTCTATAATTTTAAAAGTTGAGAGATAGAAAGAAATGTCTTCTATCTTAATAACCGTCATATTATGTAATTCCTTAATGATTTCCCATTCTTCATTCGATTGTTGCCGACACCAGGTAATATATTTTACATTATTTTGATTTTATGGTAAATCTAGGGCGCCAATTCCTTATATGAATTTCAAATTAGCTGTTATAGTTATTTTTAATTTTATAAATTTACAAAAAACATTAATAATGTTTAGGTATTTAAAATTATACCAAAAACTACGATTTTTTGAAAAGTTTCAAAGCTTTCACAATTTAAACAAAATTGTATGTTAAATTTATGAAACTTTAAATTTTCTTATTTTGTATGTTTTTGTTTTTCGATTATATAAAGTTTTCAAAATTTGGGATTATTTCCAAATTTTGGACGTATACTCTAATAAAACGGTACGATCGATTTCGCTCTCATCAATTCAATATAAATCAAATCTGAGTCTTTTTTTTTAAATTTTGACCTATAACTTTTCCTAACTCCTAATACAAACTCTCTCCTTCTCATTTTATAACTTATTAAAAATGATTGAATTTATATTTGTATAATTCTTAATTTATTTTATATACACATAGGATCGGAGCACCAAATGTAAGTTTATTATTTATTTTTAACGTGATAAAGTTATCATTCTAAAAGTTTAGTGATTGAAACATTATCTAACCGATAATATAATTTTAATACTAATAAACATTTGAAAACTTTAAAATGTTCGTTTAATTTTTTTAAATATACACACATAAAAATAACTTATCGATTTTCTTACATTTAAAAAGTTAGACTAAATTATTCATAGTGGATGTGATGCAGATCAAATTAATTTAAAAAAACTGATCTCACTAAAAAAAATTAAAACTGCTGTTAAATCACATCACATTGCATCCATCATGAATTAGCCGTAATTAAATTGATCATGCCAAAAAAAAATTGAAATGTCTGATGCTATCATTTAAAAGCTACCCAAAATAGAATTGTAAATTCCAAAGCCATATGAGTTAGGTTTGGGTTAGTTTCATACCTTTACAATTGACTATCCGCCTCATGTTGCTTCTGAAGCTATGATCTTTCTTTTCTTTATCCTATCGAGATCATTTGAAAGAGAAAGATGTCTAACTGATTAGAGTCTACTTTTATTTTAATCCTTCCCGCGGAAAGGTAGAAAATCTTTTATAATTTGTAGTAATTGGTAAGACGGAAAGTTAATGAGATACTCACCTTATTTTAAAAGTATCTTTAATTTAATCTTACATTAATAAACTACTTATATATTACATGATTTTTTTGCATAGATAGCCTAAAATAACGAAATAGTTGCCTAATTGTGAAAATCATCAAAAGAAAGCCATAAAAAATTATTAAGTATTTATTTAATGCAGAGTTTGGCGTCTGAACATCTGGAAAATAAAAATAGAGAAAATCTAGAAAAAACTAATATCTTCTGAAATTTATATAAACCGGAAGAACTCGCTTCACAATTTTCAATAGGTTGTGGAACTATTTTCTAACAAAAGTGTTATTGTTTGAAATGTAATGATTTTTTAAATGTTTAAGATTTTTACATTATTTTAACAAAGTTTGGAACCGAAATCACAACCCTAGGCACAAACTCTAATACAGAAGTTATTCTTTCAAGAAAAATTATTAAAGAGTGGGGTCTTTCAGTACCTTACTGACTAAATAAAATGTTTATCTTTATATAAAACTATCCGACAAAAATGAATACTAGCAGAAATATAGTTTAGCATAAAATATCAAAATATCTTTAGGTTTTAATTGTAATAACAATACTATAAACATGGGGGGGGGGGGGGGGGTGAGAAATTGCCCCGTTGAAGGGTTAAGCAGTGCATACTTTTATTTATTTCCTCATTCAAAAACTATTTAATTGTATACTAGATATTTTAAGTATTTAAAGCAATATATTACCTTAAATTGATCAATCAAATCAATCATGCCTGTAATTAGTGTTTTCACTAAATTTTATCTTTTTTCATATTCATGTTCATCCTATATCTTTATATTCCCAATAAAATAAATCATTCATTCAATAGATATAATTTGTCTGCATCTGACCTTTTTTTGTCGAACCAGATCGGAAAAAAATTTCAATTTTTAATGGGTCTAAGTCCTATGAGTTGACCCTATTTTTTTCTGCGAGATCGACCCTCTTCATCTGAAAAATCAAAAATTTTAACATTAGAGCATAAGATACATCAAAATGTTTCTTTAATAAAAAAAAAATAACAAATGATTATGAATAAAACATTTAAAGGATGAAATAAAAATTGCAAAGGAAATATATTTAAAAACAAAGTTTATTGTATGTTTATGTTTGCTTAATAAGAGCTTCAATAATAATATCAATGCAATAATAATGTAAAATAAGAAAGCTCTTGCTGAAGTTAAAGCTGGAATTTTAAAAATGGAATATATTTCTGATGATATTTTTTGAATAATGTCAAATATAAATGAAATCTGAAATTATCCGGTCAGTGACAATTTTAAACATTATAAACAAACTCGAATAGGTTTATGCAGGTCACAAATGCATAACATTTTATTATCTGCAAACGAGATCAAAGGAAATACATATTTATTAAATTCCTCGCTATATTTTTATAATTAATTAATAGGAATACCGAGCTTTCAAAGACCTGCATCAGAAAATTTTATAGTTCACATTCAAATATTTTCCGGTAATAAAATCAGATAATATTAAATATTAAAGGAAATTTCGAGATATTTTTTTTATCTAATTTATACCCAGTGGTATTTTAACTTAACAAATTCCCGAAATTTTCTTTGAATAAATTCGTGCACTTAAAACATGCAATATTTTGTTAATGTTAACACACTCCATAGCATGCAAATACATTGTTAGCTTTAGAAAAAATTAATCCTTGTCGGATTCGAACCAAGATATATACTAAGTTAATATGCATTCACTGACAACTTTTTTGTATATTAAACCTTAAAAAATGTAAACACAAAATGGTTAATGTTATAAGTACACAAATGTATACAAGGAAAACTACGAGTGGATTGTTAAAATGCTTCGGGTACTTTTTAATTCAGGATAATTTTGCCTGTGAACTATTTCTAACATAGGCTTTGTGATTGCAATACATACTTTGAGAAATTTGATGTAGACTTTTAGTATAATATCATTTCTTGTATCAAATTAATCAAGTCAATGAAGTGTTTATCTTTTAGTAAAATATATATTCTTTTATTTTCTAAATCAAATGTCTGAGAAATCTTGAGAAAAATTTAAATATCACCTTCTTTCATGATATCTCTTGAATCTTTTTCTGTGCCACCCAGTGGGGTAAACAGAAGGGGGGGTTGATTAAACTCCCCCATAACTCCCGAAATTTTTAAATCAAATTTAAAAAAAATATATTTTAAAAAAAAATCATTATTTACAATCAAATTTATATGAAGCGAGTCATTTTTAAGCCAACTAAAAATATTTTAATTTACAATATGACCAGAATTATTAAATTATTATCAGTTTTCTAATTGGATCCACTAACACATATAGTTATAATATATATTTAAAAAATCGTTGACTTCGGGAAGCTGTTTCCGTCTACGTAGATTACTAATCCGATCGATTGTTCGTGTTTAAATCAAAGGACCGTGTTTTTTTTTGAGGCCAACTAGGTGTTTTTGTGCTAGGAGGGGGGAGGAGTGATATATATGATTCCATCTTAATATATATAAAAATAGATTTTATTGCATTATAAAAAATCGTTGTTTAGCAAATTATGTTTATGTTTAGAAAGTTATTATAGATTTTAACTAATATTAATCAAATTATTAATTCAATTTTTACATTTTATTTTTAAATGAATAAATATATGTAAATATATGTAAATAATATTAAATTTTTATATGCAAAAATAATTAAAATTTTTACTCCACACAATGGTCTCATGAATAGGCTCACCCTTCTCCGGGTATGGCTCACTCTTTACTAAGAATAATTATCGGATAAATTAAAATTCTGAAAAAAAGTATTAGGTAATATTTTATAAAATTATAACCTACTAGAACTAATAAAATGCGGAAAAAAATAAACATTATTAATTAAAAAATGGCAAAGTATTATAATTTTACTCAGGTTTGTTTTTTAGGGCTAGCAGAGACCTTCACGGGCCGGACCGGCCAGCAGTCTGCTGCCCATACCCGGCCCACTAATATCTATTTTCTAGCGGGTCTGGGCCGGGCTTGGGTTTTTAAATTTTTTTTAATGGGCTTGGGCTGGGCTTGGTCCTAAAATTTTTAAATTTAAATTCTTTTAAACAGTTGCTAATTTAATGAATTATTGCCTTTTTTTCTTCTAACAATAATAAATTTCAGTATTGTAAACAAAATGATTGCCTAAATATATTTAAATATTGTTAATTTTCATTAAATAAAAAACATTAAATTTTTGTATATGAGCTTGGCGAATTTTTCTGAAACTTATTATGGGCTTGGGCCGGGCCTGGGAATTTTTTTTAATATTAAATATGGGTCGGGCCGGGCTTAACCAAAAAATTTTTTACTGCGGGCCTGGGCCGGGCTTGGTCAAAAAATTAAGGCCCATGAAGGTCTCTGATGGCTAGGCAACTCTCCTATATATTTATACATATAATATTTTTCCAATACTATGTGTCATTTTTTTTAAATTTTAGTTTGGAGGACTTGTCATTTGAACAGCATAAAAGTTGTTTTTGATTGGTATTTTAGGAAAGGGGGTAGAGTAGAAATATTGTACGGTGGTTGTACTTACAAGGTTCCCAATTTAAAGAACATGACAATTATTTCTATAAAGAAGAATCAATGTGGCATGAAAAAGGTTTATTTTTTAAAAAATTCCTGTTTATATATAATTTTATTAGACATCAAATTTTTAATTTTTATTGGAATAATCTTTTAAGTATGTATTAATCTAAAGTCGAATTTCAATTAATATATAAATTTTTTATAAATTCATAATATAACATTTATCTTTAAAATAAAAAGAAGCAAGGGGATAATAAAGCATATCTGATATACTTTGACATCAAGCATTTTAATAAGAAGAAAGCTCTGGTTAAAAGGGAGGTATTCATGGCTTCCTGTCCAACCCAAGACATAGATGGCAAGGTTATATAAATTAAAACTTCATAATATTAATATAAAACCACCCCGAAAAAATTTTAGTGGTCCTTGCCTAACATAATAAATTTATTTGCTGCCACAACTCTCTCTTATTAACTGTTGATTACTCTCATTTTTGCTAATAAAATAACCTATCTTATGTATCAAAATAATAAAGCAAATATATTAAATATAATTAGCTTCCCCTTAAAATAAAATTTCTTATTTTTGTGATAATAATTAGCAGAAACCTATTGTGGTACCAAAATAGCCTGCCCCTTATTTTTTAATTTTCGGCCCGGCACGGTTTTTCTTCTAAAAATTTTCTGCCCACCCGGGTGTATAAATTTTTTTTTTAGATAAAATGGTTTTCAAATGGTATAGGAAATATGAGAAGTGAATGAATGTGATATATTACAATAATTTTTAGATGTATTTTATTTTATATTTTATTTTATCATCAAAATTAACAATCCAATCCTAATTAATTATCATTATATGAATAAAGTTTTAAAATATAATTCTCATATTGACTTTTTTTAAAAATTAATACATCACAGATAGCTGGATCATTCACAGATTTATCCATTGGGAGATGTAATTGACATTTTTGTAAAAAATATATAATTATAATGTAATTTTATTAAACCTTAATTTGAATTGATGGCTAATCATAATAGGTTAAATTAAATATATAAAAATATTTTCTTTCTTTCTCCATTACTGGAGAAATTAGGTTGAAGAGTTCAAATATAAATATTAAATAGTCTAAAAATATAATTTATCTGATATTTTTTCGAAATTTAATTTAATCATTATTACTTCGTGTTGGCATATGCAGAAACCAGTTATCATTTCTGTTTTTTATTTAAAGTAAATTGGTGGTGTCAGAAGACTGGGTTCAAATTGGAGATGCAATGGCCAGCTATTTTTCACGGTTCAATAGGTCCTAAAATTAAGAAATGCGTAAGTTATCTCCCAGATAAAGGTATCGACATTAAACTAAAATGGTCTCACGAAATAGAATTTAGTGAATGTGGAGTCACCCAGGTTAAGAAATATTAGGCCACTTTCGTTTTACAAAATATAAACAAATTAAATAACCATATAATTTAATATGAGGGCCAAAATTAAGGTTTCCTCTTTTTTAAATTTTTTTTGAGATTTTTTTATGAATCAAGTAAGGAATTTTATTAACTAAGGATAATCAAACTCAATCTTTGACTAAACTGATGATAAACCAAAAACTCTATGCCATATTAAAAAATGAACAGACACAAACTCAATATGAGATATCCTTACACGTGTATTATATGGGTGTATGCAGCCTACCTTGTTTTACTCAAGAAGTAACAGCGGTTTGTCCTAAACGGAATAACAAAATAGTTGATGCCAACCCAACTATTAAAGCTAAACCACCGTCTAACGAAAGTAGAACAACTAAAACATCATCTAATGATTTAATGCCCACTAATAATGGAAAAGATTTCGAAAGGAAATCTACCAGACTTCTTTCTTTGAATACAGAAGCAATGCTAACATCACTGATCTCTCATAATAACGAAAATATATTTTCTTTCATGAAGACCTCGGAATTATCTAAAAGACAGATGTCGTCTATTGTGAAGATAATTGACGTAACCGATGCACATTCTAAACTATCCAGATCGACTAGTGTGATAAAACCTGTAAAAAATATAATTTTATTATTTTTTTTTAATATAATTTTTAAAATTGTAAATTTAAAATATAAATAATTTTTTTTAAAAAAATATAAGGAAATCGATGAAGTCCCCATATTCAAAGGTAAGAGATGATAAATTTGTTTATATCATATAATTACGAAGAGATATATATTCCAAATAAAATAAAAAATTTAAAAGTGAAAACGGAATGTTTAAATGACCGGTTCATGCTTATGTTTGATTGGCCTATCCAATTTTATGCTAAAGTTACCACCACAGATGTCTCTTGTGAATTTGAGCAATCCAGGGGCATACCTTTCTTTGTCAAATCCTTCACTTTCAATAGTTGTGGAACCATTTTAGTTAGTTTATCTTATATTATATATTAGAAAGATTATTGAAAGAAATTTTAGTAGATACCTATAGTAAAATATACTTTAGGAACTATGTTTTAAATGAAAGACCATAGTTCATAACCATTTATCTGAGTGTTTAAATAAATGGAATTAAAGAATACAATTATTTAAAGAGTTATAATATTGATTGTAGAGCTACTAAAATTTGTTAACTTTGTATCTAGTTATATATTTTTTTAATTGAAAATGGATAAATTATCATAATTTAAAGTTTAAAATATTCCTCAACATATGATCTAATCGGTATCATGTCAATTCGGCGTGGAAAATTTTGCACACGACAATTAAGGCAGCGACAATTTGGTGCGTATCTAATACAGTTGCAATTTATTAATATAAAACAAAGGGATCATTAAATAGAAATTATGTTGAGGGTTGGATATCAAAAATTAATTTAATAAACAAATATTAATACTCTGATTTCTTTGGTGGACCAATTTACCATGTTATAATATATGTTGTCCAAAAAAATTCAAATTATTTTTTAGAAGTAAGGAATTAACAAAAAGGTCTCATGCTAGAGGTTGAATTTTCCAATCATATCCAGCGATTGTATTAATTTAGATAATAATTATTGACTTAAAAATAGATTTTTCTTTAAGACTGATTCATTTTATAGATTTATTAAAATCCTTAAAATAATAATCATAAAAAAAATATCATTTTTATCAGGGCTTCGAACCGAACCGCGAAACAGAAACGAATCGTTATAATTTTCTGAACTGTAACCGAAATTTTATAAAAAAAAATATAAAAAGAGCAAATAGAACTGTTATAAATATTCTTGAAACAATTTAAACCGACGGTATTTTTAAATAATTAATTTAAAATTACTAACCTAAATTTGAAATTTTAATTTTCCTTGGGGCCAATTTGAATTCGGGATTTTATCAAAATTTTTCATACTTAGCTATTATCTTCATATCAATAAATACCAAGTTTATTGTTTTTCTTTATATACTCAATTTAATAGAGATTAGGCAAATTACTAGTTAATTAGATAAGAAATAATCTACATGGTTAAATTAAATAAGGAGGAATTATAAAAATATAAAGCAAAAAGATTTTTCTCTAAGAGTAATATGTATATATAGTTTATGATTAATTTTTTTTAAAAAAATCAAATTTATAAAAACCGGAACGAACCGAAAAGAACCGTTATAAATTCTAAACCAAACACCGAACCAAATAATATTCTTCAAAAAAACCGAAATGGGACAAAATCTTTATAAAATTTTAAACTAAAAATCGAAACACAGCTATACTTAACTGTTAGGTTCTCTTGTTTAAATAATTTGATTTTTTTATACAACATATTCATATATATCATGGCAAATTGGTCCACCAAAGAAATCCTTATAAATATTGATTTGTTAATTTTTTTTTGATATTACACTTTAGTAAATAGTAAAAAAATATGAAGAAATAATTAATAGGATCAACATTCAAAATGACTTCTATTTAATCATCCTTTTGTTTTATATTAATATATTTATAATAAATAACTGTATTTGATATGCGCCGAATTGACTTTGCGCTAAATTGACTCCGCGCCGAATTGACGTGGAACCGATCTAATCATATAATTCCGATTTATTTATAATATGTTGTGCTTTATTGTTGAAAATCCTAATCTTAGCCAACTCCTAAATAGCGCTTGACGAAAAAAAACGGCTAAGTTTAATTAGTTTCGCCTAAATAGGTACATCTTCAAAATCAGTTAAACCTAATAAGGCTTTAATTATTTAGAATTTTTTATTAAAGTTAGGCTAGCTAATCAGCCAAAAAATAGGCTCACCCAATTGTAAAATATATAGAGTGGGGATGGTTGGGACATTTTTTGTTCAAACCTGAATAAATTCAATAATATTAGACTACTCTGAATAAGTAAAACATCTTCTTTATCCTTTAAGTCTAGGTTATTTTAAATAATTAATATATTGAATTTGAAAATAAATTTTTTGTCCCAACTATGACACTGGGTATGTTGAGACACACATATGTGATAGTTGGTCCACTCATAAAATAGAGGTCTAAATATATAAATGAATTTAAAATCCGTATTCCAGACTAGGGACTATCACATATTTCCTTTTATTAATAATATTGCATAACAAATAAGTATTGATTTTGGAGTTCCTAAAAAATATATATAATTATATAAATAATCATACCTGTAAATAATGATAAATTCATGACTGAGGTTTTAGGATATAAACGTAAGGCTTTTCCATAATCTTCCGTACAGAAAATGTTTCCTTTTTATTGTAATTTCGCATAACTAGTAAATGGTAAAATGAGTTAAAATGACATGTCCCAACTATACTACGACTAACTATGACTGAGCCAACTAACTATATAAATATCATTCAGAATCTTATAAATTTCTGTTTATTGATTCTGAAAATGTGTCAGTTCCTAGATTTTAAAAGTTTTATTTATAAATATAAACGATAAAGTTTGCAATTATTTTTTAATATTTTTGGTATGTTAAAACACATTTTCTTTTGTAAATAAATATTAAAATACTAAATATTTTTCAATCTTTTTTAGCCA